TGAACTCATTTTCAGCTCAAATTCCATCTCTATGGTGTCATTTTCGCCATTGCCATACTAAAGAATATTGAATTCAAATGCGATGTAGGCATGCCGTCGCATTAGATGTGTGTTTTATGTCTGTGAAACATATAAGGAGAGGAAAAGAGGAGTCAAGTGGGTTTTTCCTCCATTTCTCAGCATTCATTGTGACATTATAAACACTGGCAGACAGATTTAGAGTCTTTGGACAGGCATCCGGTAGAGTGTTGGCAATAACAATGAGAGATGAAGTGAAAGTATTTTTGGGTGGGAGCAGTCGGGTCGCAGGTGCGTAAATCTCTTAATATTTGTTAATTGTCCTTGGAAACCATTGAATGACAGCACTGTTGCTCAGGTTTGTTGCTCCGGCTGGGAAGTTGGCACATTATAGGGATAAAAGTCAAGAAAGTTTGTTTTTTTTCAGTATTTGTTTCTAACGACCTCACATACCTATCCTGTAAGAGGCTGACATTTACACCAGAAGACCTTAAAAAGCTACACACAAACTACTAATACTAATACAACCTGTTTGCTGTGAGGTGGATTTTAAAAAGAGGAAAACCCTTATCATACAAGAGGCATGAGTGCAATTCTGTTAAAATGATATGCATAAAACAAACACCAGATGAGGCCCTGCAGAATAGCTGCATATTTCAGGGCAGAGCTCCTCCGATCTGGTGGTAGTTCAAATGACATTTGGCTGACTTGTTATACATAGCTCAATATATTCCAATAGCTTATAATGATTACCAATATTGGAACCAATAAAACATTTGTGGGCCAGAAATTGTGAAAGAATAAAATTAAATGATGTGTGTAACTTTGTTCTAACATTTTATGTCCCTCCAAGGCTCGTTCCGCTCTGCCTGAAAACGGCGAGAATGTCAAAAGAGGTAAAAAAGATGGCACCACAGTGTGTGCTCAGGGTGTAAGTTATGGCCGTAACTTTCTCACTCTGTCAGGCGCTTTAACCGTCTGTCCTGGAGGACACATTAACTTGGTATCCTTAAATAAAGTCCTTTAAATAAAGCTGGGGGAGTTAAATAATGAGAAAGCTGCTCCCACTGTCCTTTCTGCTTTTAAATGAACCTCTGCCTTTCTTATTAATGTCCCCTTATCGCTCATCACGGCCACTGACCCGCTGCTGTAACCCCTTTCCACTCAACCACATGAGAAGCTCCAGCAAGTGGTCGCCGCAGAAGTAATTGAGGGCAATTTTCAAATTAAAATTTAAACCCCTCGTCCATCTTCATGCGGTGGGAGGGGGTGGAAGAGAGGGGTTTTGGGGCTGATGACTTGATCAGGTTTTGCGAGCTGGGCAGGTACTCAGGCTGGGCGAGGTGGGATGATGAACGAGGGGCATTAATCTCTGTGACAGAGAGAGAGGAGTTAGCAGCCGTGATAGCAGCGCTAACGGCTTTAATTAGCATTTAATCAGACGCCTCGGGGCCGATGGAGGGGGAGAGAGGAGATCAAACTCCAACGGCCTCCTGTAAGAAGAGGAGGAAAAAGAAGACAGTCCCTGTGGTAGCCAGGCTGATGCTGCAGGCTGTGTTGAAGAACACATGCCTATGATCCTTTTTTTGTACTCCTGTAATGATAGCAAGCTCGATGCACCACAAAGGCCCTGGACCTTTTGCAGAAAGCAGTATTGTTAGAAGAAAATAGACTGCATTCTCAGATACTCTAAATGTTCAGGCTGTGGGCTTTTCCTGGATAGTTTGGCTTCACAAGTACTTGAAAGATTATTATGAATTATTATTTGCAGACAGGGGTGATTAGGGAATTAGTATAAAACTCTGGGGTATATTCTGGGGTGCAAAGCATATCATAGATTTCTGACCATGAATATTCTTTGGACTCCAGATATTACCAATTATAGAGTTGTAGAGTGGGATGAGTTACTTTGAGGATCCGTTCATTTTCTCCATAGTCTCTATAGTTTCTATCCAAATGTAGTTCAAAGTTAAACCAACCATTTTGAGGAATATTATCGGAAGAAAATGCAAATTAATTTGTGTTTTAATCTATTACCATTATGCAATTATTAGGAGTTGGTTCATCCAGATAAACAGCTGGTTGCACTCATTCTCAAATTAGGTGCCAGTAAACTCAAGGAAAAGGAGAGGGTGCAACAAGGAGCATTACGGTAAGTCACTTAGGCTTAAATTCTGTTGCATGCAACTAAGAGAGCAAATGCTAATAGAAAGGGACACTAAATAAAACATTTAGCAGTTTCATTTTGTGAGTCTATGTCAATTTTAGATGAATTCTGCAACTGATGGTCCATTTTGTTTTGTTCCCAATAGCAACAGTGAAGTGTTTTGAAGTTGCTACAGCCCTGATTCACAGCTTTGACTGGTTTCTTCTCCATAGTAGTAGCAGTTCAGGCTCACTGGTACTGCAGTATTTAGAGCCATCAGCAATACCAAACAACACAGGGTTTTCGTGACCCACAGATGCCTGCCCGGAAAGATAAAATGTGTGCCCAACCCACTTTTAAATTCAATATTACCACAAACTACTGGCCACATCTGCAGCCTGTGCAAGTTGACTTAATGTATCTCCCAGCAAAAAAGAAGAGAAGAATACAGCGCCAGATTCTGTGGAAATGTAAAAAGTATTGCGATCTGTGAGATTACAAAATATAACGTTAAAGATCCCAGATAACAGGTAAAAAAAATGTTTTGCATGGGGAACACTGTGTGAACAAATCACATATGGAGTCCTGAGGTCACAAATGGGGCTAGGAAACACATGATTTCTCAGAAACAAAGCCGAAACAATTACATTAAGTAATTGAAAACAGTATTATCCAGGAGATGCCCATGTTTTTGAGGAACATTGAGGATATTATTAAAAGAAAATCTTGAAATGAGAATTTACAGGGGGAGATAAATACCTCCACATGTGAAGGGAGCCATAGCAGTTGAACTGTATGGTAGCATCCCTGTCTACAGATTATGGCTTCTAATTGAAAATTAACAAACAAACCATTTTGCTTTGCAGCATTTGCCTGCTTTTATAATGTATAGCCGATTTGATACTTTTCAAGGAACTCAAAATTTCCTTCAGCCCCACTGTTTCCACCGTGGTCTAAAGACCTGCGAAGACAATACAAAGTCTGCTGACGTATGAAAGCGACAGGGGTTTTTATGTGCCATTTTTGCATGTAACACACTGACAAAAAAAACTGCGATGACATTAACACAATATCATTTATGGAACCACAATGAACAAAAAACAAACAGGTTTGCAGCAGCAGATTTTTAAAAATGGTGGCTTAAGTAAAATGCTGCCAGTACTCGACCAATCACAAATGTTCTGCACTGCAAGCTTCACACCCAACGTTCCTGTGGAAAATACTACCCCCCGGGGCAGGGACTGTTTGGGGGGTCCCCGGAACTTCGTTTAGACGCTGGTCCTCCAAAGGTTCCTAGTCCCTGGGGAAAGTTCCTGCGGTGGAGAAGCAGCTTATGTCTTACACATCATTGAACCTCAGAAACACTTTGCTTTTGGTTTCAAAATATGCTTTCTGTATGTGAAACTATAAAGAATAATAGATCTACAGTTCTACAAGAAAATGTCAAGCCCTTGATGTGTTGTGAAGCCATGGCGTGGTGCGTGTGTGATGGTGAAAGAGAGGGAGTGAATGCTCTAGATAGGAGTTTTGATGGTAACGGTGAGGAAGAGGGCTTTTGGCATGAAAGGGGCCAGTGTGTGATCATTATGTCATTAGGAGTATACAGTGAGACAGACCGGAGGAGGCTGCTGTACCGCGCTACACCCAAGGGACGTCATTACCAACTCGAACTGAGCAGGGACCTGAGCACAGGTCAGACACACAGGAAGTTGTCTAGTACACACACACACACACACACACACACACACACACACACACACACACACACACACACACACACACACACACACACAAACAAGTGTAGGCTGCATGGATACACACATACATGTGTGTTTTTATGCTCTGACTGACACACACACATGCTTTTTCTCACAGGCGTGGATCCATCACATAACAAATGGACAGTTCTGTCTGGCCTCTGACAGCAGACGGGTTCTTTTGTTACTAAACCTGACAAATTCCTCAATATCTAAGTGGACACCTCTATGGACAAATGTGCCTCATTAATGAGCACACACAGATGGACAACACACACACACACACACACACAGACACACACAGGCGCGAACTGAGAGCTCGTGCTGTGCTAAGTTGCAGTGTGTATACCGGTGTAGCCGTCTGCGCTTCATTACTGTTCACACACAGACAGTTGCAGTGTTTTTGTGTCAATGTTTAATGAGGGGCTGGGAGTCTGGGGACCTTACTGCTGTCAGGAGCTCCTGTAGTCTGGAGCTACCACCTGTTCCCATTCGCTCCCTAAAGGCCTTAACACACACATACACACACACACACACACACACACACACACACACACACACACACACACACACACACACACACACTCATAAGAAGACAGACACACAGAGGCATGCAAACAAGAAGGAGCATGCAGAAAAACATGTCTATACAAACACACACACACCTGACAAACTACATACACTGATTTAGTCATCCTGTGGCACCACTGTCAGTGTTGGATGCATGTAAACAGGTTATTGTGGTTGGCTGAGCCTGGCTGCCTGACAGAAGCTACAAAGACCATGGGAATATCAATTGATACATTTCATATTCCTCGTCAGCTTGCCTGAAATGACAGCGTGAAAGCTGCTGCCAGCGAGAGTGATCCCTCTCTGCCTTCTTCTGACACTGTTGTTTGATGGAGATCTGAACTGTCCTGATTGATCGGCGCTCGCTGATACGCCGACCGACGCACGTCTTCAAGCTCACAGACCGCGTCCCATAACAATCCATGACAGACCTTTTGAGACAAAAGTGCAGCTGTACAAAAAAAAGCATTTCCTGTGTCAGGGTGCAAAAAAGCAGAGGACATAAAATATACATTTCAAAAAACTAACTTTTATTAAAACAAAAAACAAAAACAAAAAAATCAATTATTGACTCATTAACAAGATTATAAAACAGTGATTTAGTTACATAAATAAATTGATATCGGTGTATCAAATCTTAATTTCATAAGCATGTATACATGGGTCATTGTAATAAATAAAATGGGAGAGCAGAAGATTCCTACACAAAAAAAAGAAAAAAAAAAAACAGCTAGAAAGACTCAGAGGAAATTGTTTCTGAAGAGAACAAGAGACACTGGACAACGTATTTTTTCACCAAACACACGTGAGGAATTGCTTTGTTAAAGCATGAGTTACACAGCCATTCACTTACTAATTAAGGACACTAAAGCTGGGACCAAGGTGGGTTGTCTCTCACCTCTTAGAACGCGTTTGGTTGTTAGATAGATCTCCTGTTTGGTTACTTTAAAGCGTTAAGACAAGGCAAGAGAAAAGGCTGCTTTTATCTTTAATGAACACAAGATAGAAAAAGATGCAAAGAAAAAAAAAGAAATCAGACATGTAAAGAAGGTAAAAAAAGGCAAGTAATGATAGGACAGCTGAACAATGCAGAGGACACTGGAAATTCTGCAGTGAATGAAAGAAGAACTGATGAGACTCGATTTTTATTCTTAGCTAGTTTGAACCTGTGCATAAATATCATTGTGAGTCTGGTTGAGTTGCACAACTATGAAGTTACTTTGACAAGGGTTATATTACTGCAAAATGAGGCAGACTTCAGCCACGAGATGTCCTTAAATGCATGTAAGGCTGGACACATAATACATGATTTTTAACCAGATTCATCTCCAATTAGCTCCTGTATAAAGCACATTATAGTTATTTTTCCCCATAGGATCCTATGGAAAACTAGGCTAGTGCAACAGCTTACATGCATAATTAAGTACTTTTAAGAAATCCTGTATTGTGTTTTCAAACATTTATTGACCAATGGCCTGAAGTAGTCTACCTCCATCCCCTTTCTATGCTTTAGTCAGCAGGAATGAACAACAATGTTTTTCTCCGCCATCACAATCTGACTCATCCTGCATTTCTGATGGGATCCAGCGTCTCAAATGTGAACACATGAGGCCTTGAGAGTCCAAAAAGCCATCAACAAGGTCAGTCTAGTCCTTCTGATATGTTCTGTTTTCAACAAAAGAGAAAAAAAGAGAAGACAAAAGAGAGAAGGAGAGCGAGAGAGAGAGCAAACTACAGCGGCTTCAAGTATTTCACATTACATAGAATACTCTGTATAAATTAGTTAACATATACTTTCAGATCCTCCATATTCAGACATATACTATGGCATATATACAGAGTACAATAAATGCTCACTCATGTTGTGTCATGTTTTTGTCTTTTTCCTGTAGTCAGTCGTTCATTTGTTCCGCCTTTTTTCCTGTGTAGAGAAATCCCTGAGAACGTTCTGGTTGACAATTACTGAAGGTTCCACACAATGAACTATAACAGTAGAAAGTCTAATTTCTATGATTCACATGCACAGAGGGAAATGACACTGGCCTAGTCTGAAAATACCATACAACGGTGGCTGTAGAGATGAGAGGGGACTGACATACTGACACATCTTCCAAGTGTGTTAGAGCCAATTTTTGGGGGGGTGTAAGTACCGATGCCAGGGCAGTGACGTACAGCAGAGCTGAGCGCAGAAACACCTCAGCAGGAATCTGACTCCACATCTCCTCATAATAACCTTGGTCTCACTGTTTAATTAACACTGTCAGCTATCATAGATGATAAATATCATGATAGCAAAAAAAAAAAGAAAAAGGAAAAAAAGGGAGCAGGTTCAATACCGTATCATGAGGTAGTTTTCTCCCTCTGGGTATCTACTTTAAACTAGAAAACTCAACTATAACGGTTATTTAGTCAAACTTGGGCTGTTAAAAATCACAGCTGTAGTACATCACATTAATGTAACAATAATACTCATTATCTTTGTCTAATGTGCCATCATTGTAGTGCCTGCATACTGTCCTCTGTCTGAAGCAGGTACTCATTATGGAGGTGGGGAAGATTACAACCATAACAACAACACGAGTTAGCTAAGAGCATTGTTGTGTGTAATGAAGCTAATGCCTGGGACCCAGAGAAAACTAATGGCTGCTCAAGTGCTGCTGCTGCTGCTACTGCTGTGTCTTAAGAAATGCTGATGGCGGCTTTCTGTCAGTGCTAACCCAAGCTGTGCCGAGCTAAGCTGTGCAGTGCTGCCCAGCGCCCACTGCTGAGGGCCTGGACAGAGGGAGGTGCTCTGTGTGGTTTAAAGCCTTAGTTTCTCTTTGAGGATGCCGAGACATTGGTCTTCTTCTTCTTCTTCTTCTTCTTCTTCTTCTTCTTCTTCTTCTTCTTCTCCTCTTCTCTTCTTCTTCTTCTTCTTCTCTTCTTCTTCTTCTTCTTCTTCTTCTTCTTCTTCTTCTTTTTTGTTTTTACATGAGCGCTATTGTAGAAGGGCTTCAGCCACTTGACAACATATAACTCAATATACACTGAAAAAGGGAAAAAAAGATGCTTTAAATCATAAAAATAAAAAAAGGAACAAAAATTTAAAAAAAGCCATTTCACTTTTCATTTTCCTCTCGCACACATGTAGAGAAATACACACAACATTCACAACATGACAAATTTCCTCTCTTCTGAAAAATAAAAACACTTCTGTACACATAGTAGTAATAATATTATTAATAATAATAATAATAGTAATAATGTTTATAACAATAACAACAGCAATAACAATAATACCGCGTGTGGCTCTGTTGATTTTTTTCATCATCTTTTCCTTTCTCTTTTTGCTTCATTCTACAAGTCACATCCCTCTTTTTACTTGTCTATTTTATAAGTCCAAAAGAAGTTCAAAAGGCAGACTCAAGTTAATATAAAAGTACTAGAGTGGGAGGGGAGCTTTTGGCGATCCCCAGCCTCACCCTCAGCCGAACCTCTCCCTCACAAGCATCATTAGTTTCTTTTTGCCCTTGTAGATCTGTTTCAGGTTGTCTATGAACTGGGTGAACTGAATGTGTCCGTCGTGAGCCATCATGAAAGTCTCCCGGGCCTTCCCCAGGAACTCGATGAACTCGCTGTAGTGGCGCGGGCTGATGTGTGTGAGCCGTGAGTGCGTGGTGTTGATGTAGGCCCCGATGGTTGCGTCCAGCAGCTGCCTTAGCGGCGCCTTGTCCAGGGACATCAGCTTCCCAGAGTTCCTGCGGCTGTGCAGTGCAGAGACCATGCCCGGCGTGGTCAGCGTGCACCTCCGCAAAATGTCCGAGAGCACGGTGGCGCACTTCACGCTCTTCACCACCAGGGGGATGACGGCGGCAAGCTCGTTTTTCCCCAGCGAGTGGCTGAGCGCACAGGCCCACAGCACGTCATTGATGGCCGGGTGTGTGTCCTGGTTGTAACTGAGGTTCAGATGAGCCATGGCTAACGTCGCCAGCTTATATGCCCTCATCGGGTAACCGCGGTGTTCCATGTAGCGTGCTATAGTGAACAGCTGTGTGTAGCTCATCCCTGTCGCCGCCGCGTCCAGTACAATCTGGTAGGCTGTCTCGAAGGCAATGTGGTCCTTTTCACAGAGTGTAAGAGCAGAGAGGGCGCAGTTCTGGGGGTCCTTCATGGCACACTGCAGGGCGAGGGTGCGGGCAGATGAAGCCAGGTTCTCCTGCTGGTGGCAGTCCAGGTGCAGGCGGACGATAGTGCTGTTGGACATGACAGTGGTGGCCACGATACTGGTGGCTTCTGTGGGGGTGAAGAGGGTGAACCAGCTCTGCATGATGCTGTCCAGTGCGTACACACCTGGCAGACACAAATGGGACAGAATGACGAGAAAGTTGGAAAATTAAGCCATCAGATCGAGTACGTCATGGAACAATAAAACAGAAACAAGTAACCAGGCTCACTTACCCACTTCAGTGGCACATGTGACTAACCAGCGCACCATCTCTCTCCTCCTCCAGTTTAATGTAGACAGAGTTATTCTCATCACCTGAGGAAGATTGGAAAGAAAAGGAGGAAGAATGGCAGGTGAGTTGTAGAGGAAACTGAACAAGGAAACTATCTCCATCATTCCCATTGAAGACTATGTTAAATATTTTTTGTTACCTACTCCAACTGTCACTTCAACAGTGTTATAGTTGAAGAACTGTAAAGGCAAATACTGTATTACATCAATCATTAAACAGACACATTTTTAATTTTTGTTAATTTGTCATCAAACATACTTAAACCCTTTTTCTGTTTCACTTCACATTTGCATTTTGTAACTGGCTGAGGGACACAGCTGCTGTGAGGATGTCAAACCCTCAAACAAGCCTTCAAAGTAAATACTTAAATAATGGAATGTATGGGGACATTGCAAGGAATATAGTCTCTCCTAGATCAGCCTGGTTTACTACAAAAGAATAGACTTGAAAATGGCAAAGATGAAAAAACAACAATATTTCCTACCACATTTTCCTTGAAGGAATCAATTACACAATCTACCTATATAATAGACTGTATTTATTAAAATGTTTTTCATATGGCAAAAGAAAAAGGAAGCTTTAAACCAGTCTAAAAATCACTTCATTTTGTGAGTTTTTGAAGCAGAATAAAATTTTATTTCAGAAAGGATACACCAAGTTGGATCTGTAATGGTATTGTGACATCTCGTGGGAGTCATGAGGTCTAACGATTGCTCTGCATGGTCATATAACGGCCATGGAATATAAAGTCATTTAACAGGAACGACTGCACCCTATAGTGCAAATACTGTTCCCTCATGATCTTCCTCTATTCCAAGATGCCACCAAAACTTTTTTTCATGAACACCAGAATAAAGTCTTTCCATGGACTAGACAGATTTTACCATAACTGAATCATTATGACATTTACAGTTCAAGAGCTGTAAGCTTTTCCTGTACCTGCAGTCCCAGCTCCAGAGAGACTTTGAGAAGTGTGATGTCAGGCAGGCTGTCCATCAGAGTGGCAATCTTGAATGCATCCTGTGCCAGTTTGAAGATATGAGACGAGGAGTGAATGTTTTTCTGGATGGACTCCAGGACTGTCTCCAGCCTCCGACTGTCACCTAGAAGGGAATCGAACACAGGGATGCTTTAGAGTAGATAGAAATTACTGCTGCACTTATTTGTATTAATGTGTTTTTTGTTAATGCTATCTGAGAATCATCAATATCATTGAGTAAGTTACCAGCATAGGCCTTGTGCTGTGTACAATATGTGTGTTTTGTGAATATATCTGCACCTTTGGCAGCAGTGAGCATGGTGGAGGCCAGCTCACACTGCTGAGACTCTATGTGGCTCAGGGTGAACCAGCGCGGGTAGCGGTTGGGCACCACTGACACAATGTGGTGGGGTCTCGACAGGTCACCGGACGAGGCCGTCGACTCCAACACCGGCAACCTGACGGAGAAACAGACACAGAAAATTAGGTCAGAAAAGCGCTATTCTGCAGAAACCAATCCACTTCAATTAAATACATGACATAAAATAATATGGTACATTGTACCAGAGCATGAAAAAAAGGGGTGTTAGGGTAAAAAAGACAGAGTGGTAGAGAAATGGAGAGAATGATAATTGGACACTAAAGGTCCATGAATCATCAAACAGTGAAATCACTTCTTTCTTCATACAGTAACAAGCAGACAGACAGAAATACTGTACAGACAGAAAAAGTCTTCATTATGATGGTCTGAAAGTGACTTCAAAATGAAAATGACTTTAGACATCACAGGGGGATTACAGTTAGTCTATCCCTGCAATTTACTTCCAACCTAGTATTTAATCACCTAGAAACCAAGGTATAATTAGTATTTTCTTCACTCTAATTGGTCATAATGAAGTCAGAGCCACGCAACACCTGCTAGTGGATGAAGGAGCTTCACTAGTTTCTCTCACTCATTATAATAACACTGACAGGGCCAAGTTTTCTCCAGCACCACAAGCACCACCACCATTACCACTGTGGCCGGCTCATCTCCTATTCTGCTTCACTTCTCTTCCCTCTGCTCCCACCTCAGTTTCAAAGGTCTTCTTTCCTTCAGAAGACAGCACAACCTGGCCTTCTCTCAGCCAATCACAAAGCTAATTGAGTCCACGGGGAAATTAAGGAATTCACCTTCCAGCCCTGTAAGGCTGGACACACATCAAACAAATACCGACACACATGAATGAAAAGAGCCGGCACACACGCATGCATGCACACACACACACACACACACACACACACACACACACACACACACACACTCAGTGAAAGAGAGAGAGACACACACACCTGCCCTTTTGAAAACACATCAAAGCAGCCCAGTAAATGCAATGTGATGCTAAATGCCAGTTTCAATTTCAGAGCAAAGTGCATGTGATACTGTTGCCACCTGAGTGAAGGCATGTACAAAAACAGCCTCTTCGTCACTCGGTTTTGCCCAAGAGGGCACAAGCGGGCCTCGTCTCTCGGAGAGACGAGGTGACAAAAACTCAGTCGAAATGCGTGCGAGTGTGAACACTGACACTTGGTGTAAAATGGAGAAGTTTGGAAGCCCTAGCAACAGCCGGGTTCACTCCACACACATCTAAAGAGCTGCTAAAAGCTTCCACCACACTGGGGCCTTCTGGAAGATTCCTGGGGTGTAGCAAAGCAAAAAAAAAAGAGCCCTGGGTAAAGATGGAGGCCTCATCAACATTCCTGTCTTTGTTTGGTTTTCACCAGAGACCCAGAGGCCTCCATTGGATAGGAGCTTGAGAGGCCTGGCCTGCTGAAAAATAACCTCCTCAAAATGTTGGGAGGAAAATCCATACTGGGCTATTGTTCTATGGGAACCAAAAAGAAAATAAATGATGAAAAAATCCTAATGGGGTGCTGAAGCATTCAATCCAAGCACAAGTACAGTACAATCTCTGCTACGGTAGCGTTCTCATCGAGCGCCTTGTTAAACTACTGCAAATCGGTGCATACTGGCTATAAACATGATCATCTTCTCTATGCGATAGCACTATACAAACTCTCAACTCAATGTCAAGTACACTCAAAACATCAAATTAAACACATATTTCTTTACAGCACTGTCGTGACTGGATATAAGCATGCATTATCAATGATATATAAAACACTAACAGCGAGCTGGAAGAGGCAATCAATTCCGTGTGAGGTAGCGAGGGGGAGGGGGGTAGCTCTGGTGTCAAACGGGTCCTGTGGCACTGTAGCACCCTGTCACATCTGAAAGGGACACAGCAATACTTATCGCTACAGAAATAATCAAGGGCAGTGGTGTGGAGGAAGTCTGCGAGGGACTACGGAAGACAGATATTTAGCAGCGACACGGTAGTTTTTTTGGTACTGGGAAGATTATTTATGAGGCAGTCACTAGCACATATATACTGAATTGCATATTAACATATTCAAATCCACATATAAGTGACAGAGAGGAAGAAACTTTGATAAAAAGCAGTCTTCTCAGGTTTTACCTAAATCCTGAGGCCTTTTGGGTTTCTGGTCAGTATCACCATGACTACTGACCTCTCTACCTCATGCTCCTTTCCCCCTCAGACTGTAAACACCCTTCACTTTAATAATCTATCAAGCATACATCGATCAACCAAGTGTCACATCCGCTGGAAGACCTCCACTCTATACACAAACTCAAAGTTGGAAACCTTCATAATGTCTGACGGGAGGGATCAATTCTTACATGACCCGAAACGTAACCCCAAATTTCATTTCACTCCTCTAAAGTGCCTCGGATGCTTGAAATGACATCTGCTTTCAGTGAAGCCTCATCTTCCACACAACAAATACGTCATCCAAATGTATTCATCGTCAGGTAAAAGACTAAAAAATATCAACCTCTCACTGATCCAGAACCGCCTTATTTTTAGGTGACGTCTGTCCTTTTCTTTTTGTTTTTCAAGTTTTATGAGCACCAAGAGTAGAAGGATTTTCTCCAACTCAGAGGTTCATGTAATCGTTCAACTGAATTAAAACAAAGATATTAAGCCATACACACATGCACAGTAATACTTTCTACTCCAGGGTACAGTATCTGTGGTGATAGAGCAGTAGTTTTGGTCCACATGCTAAGATATATAAAAGAAAAACAAGATGCTGATGATATTGCACCATTGCACCAACAAGTGGTTTACTTCATGTGTTACTTTTTAGATTAGGGCTCTACATACAAAGCATATGATCAGTTTCTAAAATATAATGCACTGCTACCGACACTACCCAAGATTATATGTTGAAAATAGCTTCACCTCGCTAAACACTGAATTGCAGCATACATGTTATGTATCAGTAATAATAATCCATTAATATAATTATACATCACTTATAGGGGCCATTATGAGTACTTGTGATTGACAGAACATATGTGCTTTTACTTGTAGTCATATTTTTATAGTGTAGTATGGGCAATTTTTTAGTAATCTGATTATTTCCTCTGCTACTGTAACTACAGATTCCCTGCATCTTAATTTGAAGTGAAATTTTTCATATAAACACATTTTCAGGTGGTATCAGACTGTGCAGGGCTACACAATTTGGCCTAACTTGGAGTGTAAGTGTGAGTGTCATTGGTACATCATTGTGCTATCATTGTATCCTCAGACTACAGTTGTGATACACAGGGCTGTATATTCAAAGATTATGGATTATGCAGAGGATCAAAGGTTGCGGATTACAGCGAGGATCTAGATCCATTAGCATTGGAAGACTTGTATCTCAAATGGAAATCTCATATGATAACAGGCGGCTGGGATTTGTCTCTTTGGCTTCCAAAGAGTTGCGATAAGGACAGTCTCTGGAGAGAGCTTCTTCTGTGGCTGCAGTCAAAATCTGGGCAGACCGTGAACCAGTAGGCAGCTCCACTGTTTTTGTGTTGGCCGCTCACACCAAGCCATCGCGCAGCATATGCTGCTCTCACACGCTTTAATTAACCTCATGCACAGCGCATAAACACACACACACACACACACACACACACACACACACACACACACAAACAAACACAAACACACAAACACACAAACACACACACAAACACACAAACACACAAACACACACACACACACACACACACACACACACACACACACTTTAAAATACTCTGCTAAATCTACTGCATATGCATTTGTGTATGGAGGCAGTCTCACTCCCTTGTATTAAAAAAAAAAGCTGGAGAGCAACTGTGAAGACGAAGACAAACAGAGTAAGCAAGTGGAAAGTGAAAAAGTGTGTGTGTGTGTAAATGAGAGAGAGCTAGACTTTCTCTCTCTCCTTGTATCAATGATAGTGTGATAATGGGTCCATTAAAATAGCCCTGGTTCCTTTACCTCCTCCTCTATATTTAACTGTCCGCCGTCCCGTGGGAGCAGGGAGGTATATGCTATCATATTACACTACGCTACATTACACACATTCATTATGTGCTGAGTAGACACCCCTGGCTCCCAGGAGCACCCATAAGTGGCCATATTATTCTAAATCGCCGGTTTAACACCACAGGAGTGAGGATGGAGGAGGTGAGGGGAGGAAACGGGGAAGGTGAAGGGAAGTGGCAAGGGAGGCAGGGAGGGGAGTGGCTGACTCAGGGAAAACAGGTTTGGGACGTGGGTTTAGAGGCAAGGAGGGGACACTCAGCGGTTGGATGTGCAACCTTGAAACCACAGAGCCCCTAAATGAGAAAGCCAACCATGTTGTTTTGGTTTTGTAAGCACATTATTTCAATTCCTGACGCCTCCTAACTGGTTAACTGGAGAAAAGTGTAAACGATGTGTTTGTTGTCCGTTTGTTCTCCGTTCGGCCGACTGTGACACATGGCGGTACAAGCCAGAAAAACTCACTTCTCATTCATTCACTAATCATTTGCCAGTTTCTCAGCGATGGAGAAGCCTAGCTTTGTAGAAACACAACAAACATCTTAACCACACTGCCCTCTCCCTGTTGGCCCTGCGTGTGTGTGTGTGTATGTGTGTGTGTGTGTGTGTGTGAGTGTGTGTGCTTCCTCCTCATTACAGCCACACTAATTACACTCTCATTAATGTAATTAATATTCACTGATCCAGCTCCCACTAGTCACAACATCAAAACACAGCAGCGCAGACTGATTAACACACATACACATGTACACATTGTCCACAGATGAATACACACAGAAGCTTAATATAGAGAGATCACATGGAAAACGCACAGTCAGACCCAGGACAGACACCAAATAAACACATGGGCACAAACACACAAGCACAAATAAAAACGCTCTATATTTTTTACTGTCCTTGTATTTCTAAAATCCTTTCATAATAACCATGATTTAGCCACAGTGTCTGAGTTTAAAGCTTGAGGAGAGCACGCACAAGACTGCAAACAAATGGAGAGGTCACTACACACTATCTTGTAATGTTTAGGTTAGTTACTTTAGTTGTATTAGATGCATTACAATATCAAACATTTTTACAAGGTTGAGAGCTTTGGATTTTGGACAAATCTGAATTTGATCAGGTGATTAACAACTGAAATCTGAGTGCGTTGAGTTTGACTGCAATCTGCAAGAGGTACTAAACAAGCAATGCAGTCTAATTACAGTCAGATGATCACAAGAAGTCTGAGGTTTTGGTCTCCGCTTTAGAAAAACAGACATATTTTGTGAGTGGCCACCCTCTATTTAAGAGGTTTCCATTGTAATTTTTTAAAAGGCTCCATTAGCTCAAACTCATGAAGACTTTCTTAATCCAAGGATCAGCATTTAATTCTACAAATGAAAATCAATAAAATTTGATTTACAAGGTTTTGACATGATTACAGCAACACGCACACACACACACAAAAGCGCGCACACACACACTGAAGAGACCTACCGCATGGCTCTCAGTGCAATTTTGTACGCCAGTTCAGCGTCGTGAGGTAGGAGAGAGGTAAAAAGATAGCGGGCGAAGGTGTGCATGGGAACACTCTCTCTGTGGACGATCTCTCCAAGGCCAGAGTATGGACCACCTGCACAAAAAACAGAAAAAAGAAATTCACTGATAAAACAATTACCTCTGTCATTTCAAAGGTTATGGTGTTTTCATCAAATTTATGCTATACAAAGTATAAATATACAACAAAACAACAACAGAATTTTCATTTTGTTGCATACTGAGTTATGCCTTTTACGGTATTGACTTATCTGGTCTATCCCTCCCACCCTGAAAGAGGCAAAGCCACGCGGCATTAAAACAACCTGTGACGTCAAGAACCATATGGTCGTGTGTGCAGGCCTCACACTCTCTCCCTTCCCTCCCCCTCGTCTCTTCCTGCACTTCCCCTCATCTCTGGTGGGTTATTTTAAACCCCAACAGGCTCCTAAGCCACAGACCACATCACACAGTGGCGCGGCTGCAGCCTCCAGGGGCCCACAGAGGCCTCGGAGCCTGGTGCTCTATTAGTAATGGAGCCAGAGGTGGGTGGTCGCAGGGCTGGGGTTTGGGTGGGGACTGGAGTGGAGTTTGACTGGGCAGGGCCCTTCAGGATGTGCCACTCCCCCCTTCCTCCTTCTCTTGCCTTTCCCATAACCAAACTCATTCTGTTTCAGCCCCAGTCCTGTAAATGTACACACTGTTGTATGTGCACGCGTGTGTGCTGACACAATACCCCTGGTGTTACTGTGTAAAGAGCTCATTTTGGTCTGGCCCAGGGCAGCTCAGCCTCTATTTGCACCACAAAATGAAAGGATAATAAATAGTGAGACAGAGTCCAATGTGTTTTTTCCTGTTTTAGCAAGAATGTGTAGGTTCTTGGTGAGTTGGTGGGAGAGAAAAGAAAGAGAGGAGGTGCGTCTGTATGTGTGGAGACTGCTGGGAAGTGTAGTGAAATGAAGGGACAATAGGGGTGAAATATTATCTTTTTGCTCTCTCACCCTCTAGTAGAAAGACGGCCTGTTTACGGAAGATTTTGACCAGGGAGTCGTCCAGTTCCACTTCCTGCAGCTTGGCCAATAGCTGCTCTTCATTGCGACACACCTTCTCTTGAGCGTACAGCCCATCGGGCATCACCCGCTGCTGGCCTAAGCCGATGAGAGCCGTCTCCACTGCCAGCGCCACGTACGATTCACCGTCTCCTAGCAATCGCTGCACGGGCATTCGCTGTAGTTCTGCTCGGCTTACAACACTGGAGCAGTCTGTGAAGGAGAGAGAGAGAGAGAGAGAGAGAGAGAGAGAGAGAGAGAGAGAGAGAGAGAGAGAGAGAAGAGAAAATAGAGTTAGATGAGGAGGGGGAGAGAGAGAGAGAAGAGAAAATAGAGTTAGATGAGGAGAAAGGAATCTGAAACAAAGGCACTGAGTTGGCACAAAGTGGTAGTCAATGTCTGTGTTATTCTCTGAGGTTTTGGACACTAGATGAGACTGTCTCCTATGGAAAACCACTGTGTCAGTCACACAGTAGAGGTCTGACCCAACGACCATCCAAAATAAAGATGGCTCAGGAGCATTCCTCTGTTCATTTCTCTACCTCAGAGGAGAGGGCTATTTCTGTGAGCAGAGGAGGCAATGAGGGACAGAGTGATCGCGGAGCGTAGGAGAGGAGAACTGAAGAATCAGGAGAGGAGGCATGATAAGATAAGACAAAGAGACTGAAGGTGAATGCACCCTTAAGAAATATACTTTCAAACATCTGCAATTTAATGTAAATATGAAAGACCTGACAAATAGGTCTTATTATGTGCCTAAAGCATAAAAAGTTACTCTACAAGACAGGAATTTGAGTATAAATCCTAAAAATCAGTCCCTGGGAATATACAGCATGTTGAAAAATGCACATTTTATAAAAATGTTTATGAACCTTCATGATTATAGCCCTGTCCATTTTGTACAATGCTATACTTATGTTACCCGTGTATACAGTATGTTATTATACAGCATATATTTCATATACAAATCATATACTACAAGTATGTGGTACTAGGAAAGCATACACAAAACATACAGTATAATCTTTTTTGGATTTGTGTTGGCTCAGAAGTTTCATATGCTGCCATAGCACCGGAGCTATATTTAAGTAAACATGTGTGAATTTGTTTGATTCAGGATGCCAGTTACTGTAAGTCAGCAGCACCTGAGAGGTCCAAGCAGGTGTTAGCGCCCTCCTCTCCCACTCGTCCTGACTCTGTCAGGGTGCTGAACAGGGTACCAATGGGATCCAGGGGGTGTCCTACCCAGCCCTCCATGTTGGTTATGGAGGTATGGCCTTTATGGAGCAACTCTGAGACAAGACACAGAAGACAAAGATTTTTAACTGAAATATATATATGTTTAAAATGACCAGCACTAGGAAAATGAACACTTTTTAAATCAAATGAAATGATAAGGACAACTAATGAAAAATAAACTGAACTGGCTTTTGAAAGAAATTGTTATTTCAACAACCACACAACAGTTTTTTTTTGCTATTGGCAATTAATTACCCTGGTTTCCAAAAATAGATGACTTAAAAACAAGCTTTACAGCTGGAGGATTTTTGGAGAATTGTTTCTTGATATTGTAGGGTATTTATGTATGGGATGGATGTAGGATGATGGTGTTTGTATGTATGATACGTTAGTGAGAATGATTCACTTGCTAATTTGTATTCTGACTGTACAGAAAAAGCTGAAGAATAAAAACTAGCTTCACCTTTCTTATGTCGGCGGAAGTGCTCCAGTTGCCTCTGCTGTTGCCGTCGTAACGTGTTCACCACAGCGATGGCCAGTCGAAGGGCTTCTCTTGGGTAACCATGCGAACGCAGGGCATCCACCCTGGCACAGGCCGTTGGGACATGTTCTGAGGAAAACACAAAGTTTTAACCCAAATATTCTTTCACTGGCTACTAGACTTTCTAAGTATGTGCACATATAACTAATATGACACATGCACTCACACACACCTACATACACACAGACTCACCATGCCACAAGGGCCAGCCGCGTGCGTCAAAGAGGGAGCCCTCCTGGTTGTCATGGTAACAGTAGTTAGCATAGAGGTCACTGGCGATAATGTGCTGGAGGTGTCGGTCCTGCCAGTGTAGGTCACAGGCCTCAATGGCCCGTGTGAACACAGTCCTGTGGGGACGCATCTCTGTAGAAGAAGAAGAGGAGGAGAAATGAGGAGGAGGTGTGAGTGAATTCAATCACCTTCAGTGAGAAGAAGGCAGGTACGGTCCATGTGCATGGTCATTTGGTTTTGTCTTTTTTGTCTTAAATGCCCTCGCGTTTCAATATCTATTAATAACATGTTCATTTTTGGGACATAATTACTATAAACAAACTCAACCATCACCTACACTACTAACAAGGGTGGCAGTTTTAAGGGAGAGAGCCACTGTTTTCAGCTCAGGGGTGGATCTGGAGAAATATTCATGGGGTGGCAAGATGGTGGCATGGAGACTTTAAGGAATGGCAGAAATACACAGATCAGCCATAATAACATTATGACCGGGTAGTCATAATGCTATGCAGCCCCATACCCAACCGACTGCGTTCACCACTTTTGATAGGTACTGACCACTACAGACCGGAAACACTTCACAAGAGCTACAGTTTTGGAGATGCTCTGACCCAGTCGTCTAGCCATTACAATTTGGCCCCTGTCAAAGTCGCTCAAATCCTTATGGTTGCCCATTTTTCCTGCTTCTAACATCATTTTGAGGACAAAATGTTAACTTGCTGCCTCATATATCCCACCTACTGACAGGTGCCATGATAACAACATAATCAGTGTTATTCACTTCACCTGTCAGTGCTCATAATGTTACAGCTGATCGATGTATATGCTGATATAGTTGCAAACAATTACTTGTATCAATAGTTTTCGGGAAATGAAGATATCTGAATGTAAAAATATGACATAATGTGGCACATTAATAAAGCATTGAATAAAAATATCTAAAGGTGGCATTAGAAATAAAAATAGTTTTTTTCCCTGAAACTTCAGACATGACTTTTTTCATTAAACTTAAGCATCACTTGGTCTAAAACATTAATTTCCCTTTTTTAACATGTAATGTTAAACAAAAATTGTGGCCGGGCATTTTGTAGGGGTAGCCGCGCCACCCTATGCCACACCTCTAGATCTGCCCCTGTTTCAGCTAAACTGTGCAAAAGCTTTGAGACTGTGTGCTACATGGAAAAAAAGAAATGGCCTCCAAAATGGTTCATTGTTTTTGATCAGATTTAGTGAAGCAAAAGAAAAAACACTTGAAGAATGATGCTTCAGATGAACAGTACTGTTCCACGTGCGTGATGTAGAGGCTTCACTATTGTTTATAAATACTACATGTAGTTAAGCACCCCTCACCTTCACAACTGTGAGATACCTTAATACAAAGCAAATATGTTATTGACAGACATACAAAACTTGTCAATCTCTGACCTTGGTTGCCATGGGCACCCTGAGGCAGTGAGTGGGTGAGGTTGGGCAGCTCGTTGCCGTGGTTACCATCCTCCCAGGGGCAGACGTCCACACTGTTCCATCTGCGCAGCTGGCGCAGCCATGAGGACTTCTGCTCCGGTTTGCAGTGGGGGTTCAGTACGATGCACATCCACAGGGCACCTGGACACACACACACACACACACACAAATGTAAAAAAACAGACACAATTCAGTCAGCTACCCTACTTTCGAATGTGTGACAATGATGGAAGAAGTCATACAATGTAGATTAGTGTCTTTTTTCAAAATTATTTTTTTCACGCAGTAAAGGGCCACAGGTCGGAGTCGAACCCATGGCCTGCTGCAGCAAGGACTAAGCCTTGGTACATGGGGTGCCAGCTCCACCAGGGCAGCTACCTGGGCACCCCAGATTGGTGTGTCTTTTGAGGTTTAAAAATCCTAAATAGAGTTATCATGCAAGACTGAAAGCTGGAGGCAGTTTTCAAAGATATGCAGCATTCATAACATTGTTTCTTTTTCTTTTAGAGCACATTCCGTATGCTGCCGCCATCTTGCACTGGAATACCAAAGTCTGTGAAAACAGAGAACTTAACTAGTCCCGAGGCAATGCTGACTGCACACACATCATTTTGGAGTAAATTGGAACAAACAGAATATGAAAAGTGGCTACGTCTCTGGGGATGCAAGCACATTCAGGGATTTTACTCTCAAGGCTGCTGGAGATATGTAGACTCTACATTGTGTGTGTGTGTGTGTGTGTGTGTGTGTGTGTGTGTGTGTGTGTGTGTGTGTGTGTGTGTGTGTGTGTGTGTGTGTGTGTGTGTCTGTGTTGTACGTATGCATGTGTGTGTAGGCAAACAGAGTTCGGGAGGAAGGACGAAGACAAGGACAGAACATGAAGAGAGAAAAAGAATACAAAAGGTGCAGAACAGAGGGAGGGCAGAAAAAAAGGGAAATAGAAAATGAAATAGCAGCGGAGATGATTTGGACGAGGAGACATGGGTGAGGACAAGTGAATGAGGCATGGCTTTGTGTCTGGAGGAGAGGAGTAGCTGCGGCTCAAAGAGGAGAAAGACAAAAGAGGGGGAGAGAGAGAGAGAGGGAGAGAGAGCGGCGCCGAGAGGCAGCATTCACCACACATCAGGGGGAGTGATAAGGACTTGGGAAGAAGGGGTTTGAAGTGTGGACTTCAAAGAGACCGTACACACACTTCCAAAAATACGTGGGATTGAAACAGATGAGATCACTGCGCTGTCCTCACAAAGTGCAGAACAAGACCAAAGGGAGAAAACGAACATCATCATCAACAGCAGCAGCAACATCAACCAAGACATTAGAGGAAAACAACAAAGACAGGAGACAACACGACTGCTGTCCTGGTGACGGGCTTGTTGGTTTTGTGGTTTGTGAAGAAGTGTTTTGCTGTAGGTACAGTACATCTGTCAAAAGAACTACACACTATATCAAACCAAATGACTGCATGGCGAGCAGCACTCTGTCACATCAACTAAATATATAATATGAAGTGTTTGAAAACATTACAGAGGTTATAATATTTGGGGGTTTTGATGAGGAGCGATGTGCCGAATTAAGAGGCTTGTAATTCACAAAGACACTCTTGCTGAGCTGCCAAACTTACATTCACAGTGAGAGGGAGAGACTGGGCTGTCAGTGATGAGTGTGTGTCTAAGTATGTGTGTGTGTGTGTGGGCTGTCTTGGACACAAAGGACAAATAAACAAACAGGGAAAAAGAATATGCGTGTGTGTGCCTTTGTGTCAATGTCTGGGTTTGATCGACCACCTTGCTAAATCGGTCCGTGCCTGTGCATACTGGGTGTGAGAGGTGTGTGTGTGTCTTTGTGCACATTTGTAGGGCAGCCAGCGTGTGTGTGTGTGTGTGTGTGTGTGTGTGTGTGTGTGTGTGTGTGTGTGTGTGTGTGTGTGTGTTTCCCCCTCACCTAGCTCGTCCCAGAGCTGTCTGTACTTGTCGGTCATGGTGGTGCCCTGCTGTCTCCACAGCGCCAGCCGAGGGTCGGCCATGAACTGTTCTGTGATCAGTGTTAACATCCTCGCTCCGTTGGAGTCACGCATCTTCAGCATCTCCCTCACCTACAGGAGGAGAGAGGAGGAGACAGGGGAGGACAGTTACGTACACACCCGCACACGCGTGTAGTTTATACAAACAGATTTAGAGGATAAACGCATGCATGCACGCACGCATGCACGCACGCACGCACAGTAATGCAAAGACACACCAAACAGTTCTCACAACTCACAGGCAAGACACACAGACCTACACTTTATAAAATACATACAAAATAAGAAAAAGAAAAGATAAACAAGCATGCACACATTGAAAAATGCATCTACTTAAGTTTATCAATGGCTAAATAAAGTGAGCGTCAAACAAATTCAAGCTGTGCTTTAAGACTTTTTTATGATATAGATTATTTTTATATCTATATTTATAGTTTGTATGTATTTAGGGTTAGTAACTCAATATTAGGTGTTTTTTTGTTTGGAAAAATCTGAATATTATATATATATATATAATTTCCTCTCTATTGTGTGTGATCTGTTGATCTGGGCGAGGAGCTGCTACATATTGTCCTTACATGAATACATAAATAAATAAAGTTGTATTGAACTGAATTGAATGTCTTCAGTACTATTAATCAGTACTGTCCTTGGTTGCTCTCAAATGTTGTACTTACTACACCTGTTCTTGCTTTTTCTCCAGATCTTGACTTGGAAGATTGAGTACCATTCCAACTAGTTTTATGCCCTCTGAATATTTTAGTGGTTTGAATATTCTTCAAAACTAGAGGTCACAAAGAAAATCCATTTGCTTACATACAACACAGAAAGCTACATTGTATTTTAAGGTTAAATATTTTCAGTATCTACTTATTCTTTTTCAGATGAAACTTCAGGAATTTGTCAGCGTTTATTGATTAAAAAAATAGTGATTTTTTTTTGCATAACTAGAAGATTTTCTTTCTGTTACTGGAAGATTTTCTGAGCTGCGCTTATTGCAAGAGAGACTCGTTTTTGATGAACTATGATGGTCAGCATCTTCTAGCAGCAGAAAACACAACAACTGCTGGGTGTGTAGGGATATAAAATCTAGGTAAATATTGGTTTAAACCATGGTTTAAACTGATCTGCAACTCTTAAAAATTGGTGAAAAGCACTACATACAGACACTAAACCTCACAACATTCACAAATGTGCACACAAAAGCACACAAATTATGTGTGTGTGTTTGTCTCTCTGGCGAGAGGGGTGACAACATTTACACAGGAACCCTTTATATACACAAATGCATATACAGTATGTGTGTTTGTCATTTGAGGGCAGCTCAGTGTACATACAAATGTGTACATAACTCTCTACGGGGGTGTGTGAGAGGACAAGTGTATATGTGGCTGTCAGTGGGTGTGTGCGCTGAAAAGGATATAACAGGCATCAAAGAGCATGAAGCCGAGAGACATTCTAAAAGCCGGGCAGGGTGGATGATAATGGCCTTGGCTTGCAGTCTTTACATAGCACACAACACATTAATGCTGGTCCAGCTCTGCAACTATAGTACCAGGCGACAGAGAGAACCACACATCTCTCATGTAATCGTTTAATCGTGTGTAGTGAGTAGTATATAGTGCAAGCTTTTTCTCTTTCTACACCTCTTCCTCTCTATTTATCTTACATTTCCTTTCTGCAATTAGCTCTAGCTAAGAGGCAGCATGCCTTTTAATGTATGTGCCAATATATGTAAGTTGTTTTGTCTGGTAATGCTTTGAACAGAGACGGCCTCTTTTCATAAGGGAATAGAAGAGAATACAAGTGCACTAGAGAGAGGGAGAAAATATTTATTAACAGGATGCAGAGGGAAAGATTAGGGTGAGACTGCATTTGTGTGTTCGTGTAGAGAGACAAGAGCACCTAAAGGGAGAGAGGTAAACCTACGCAGGCAGAATTAACTGTGTGTGCACTTGTGGCCATGGCGGTCAGGGGTTGGTATGTGTGTTATTATGTTCTGTATGTGGATGAATGAATGTTGCTGGCTCCTAACCTTGCTGAAGAGCAGGTTGAGTTGCTTGCCCGAGCCGTGGTATCCTCCCTGGGACAGGAAGAGCTTGACTTGCTCCTGAACCTGCTCCTCATCCAGATGCCAGCAGTTCTCATCGTCCACACTGGCTCCTGCTGTGGGGTCCGGGGCCCCTACGCACACGCATACAGATATGTTATATGTGTATTTCCATTCATTCATTATATCTTGTCCTGATAAAAAGTGTTCCTGGTATAGAGTGATTTTAATAGTGTAGGTAGATTATCCAGATGCATAAATAATGTTTAATTTACTCTACATTCTATTATTATCGACCACAATTTAAAATATATTCTAACCTTAACAAAAAGAGCAACCGTTAACCCTTAATGGGTGAAGAACACCGACAAAATGTCTTAACAATTCAAGTCCTTTACCACACCTGTGAGGACATTTATTTATATCTTCAAATGCTTATAAACACAAGAACACAAGCAAATACACTGCCGCTCTTAAGGCAAAGAGATTTCGATGAAGTCTTTTTTCCAAGCGAAAATGCTAAAAAAAAATAATAATTACAGCTTCTCAGTTATGAGGATTTTCTCATTTTCTTTGCTGTGCATCATATTAAACAAAATAAGTACATAAGTGCATCCACCTGAAAATTGATACTCAAATATATTAACTGAAAAGGAGTAATTTAGCAAGATGCTTTAATCCAAATGACACATTTTACACAATTATTGATGGAAGAGCGACAAATCAATAGGCTGTGGAAAAAAAAACTCTTGATGAAGATCTCGCTCTCTCTGTCGTTCTCTGAGTTGCTCATTTATTTCTGTTCTCCATTCAAGTTTCTATCTCTATTGTTCTTTCCATCTCTCTTCGTTTTGTCCCTGTTTCTCAGTCTCTTCAAAATCCAATGTTTTTTTTCCTGCATTCCACTATATCGGACTCCCTTTTTTTCCTCTCTGTTTGCCTTTTATCATTATTTACAGTTACAAAACAGTTTGACAATGATACACGTATGCTTTTTCATGCTGTCCCGTTTTCACTGGTTTCTCTTTCTCTGTGTTCTTTGCCCTTCAGTTCCTCCCTCTTTTATTAAAGTAAGCAGCGAGTACAGTATCGATAACAAGAGATATGCACCTTTCTTTATCTCTGTGCTCACCTCTTCGTCTCTGTCTCTGTATCGCTCTCTCGCTCTCTCAGAGGTAAATAACGGGTCTATAGTGTTGATTAGAGGCACTCTGTCCTTTACTGTCTGAATCTCACTAATGAGTAACATTGATCCTGCCACACTTTACCTTCATCACACAGTCAATACACACATGCATGTAGAAGCAGGAACAAACAAATGTGTACACACACACACACACACACACACACACACTCTCACACACACGACCTGCATGACCACGTGGTCATAAGCATGCCCAGGACCTTCTCCACACTCACTGACACACACACATGTTCCCTCACCATGGACCTGGTTGATCTCCGAGTTCTGCGACAGAATCTCGTCGGCCAGTTTCTGTGCGGTAGGCAACACTTCGGTGTGGTGGACTGATATCAGATACTGGACAAACTTCTGCAGCTGGTCTCTGCTCATCTGGAACAGGGTTTCTGAGATGGGCAGGTGCAGTTTGACCTGCTCAGGCTTCCGTACTCTGTAAAGCGAAAGCGCCACTACATGGGCGCAATAGAATATGTCTTTGTTTCCGCAGGTGCATGTTACCGCCGTGATCTTGCAGCGGTCGAAGCTGACGCTGACGCTGCAAACAAGCTCTGGGGATGAGGGTGTGGCGGGGTCCGTCACCGTGCCGCTGAGATGGAAACCTGAAAAAGTGAGGAAAAAGGAGTTTTAGAGTTTTACAATGTATGTATAGATTAGATTAGATTAGATTAGATAGATACTTTATTCATCCCCAAGGGGAAATTCACAGTTTCCAGCAGTATCCACAGACTGATAATAATAACAATAACAATAACAATAAAAACAGCAACAACAACAACAGGAGGCAAAATGCAAAATGCTATAAAATAAATAGCAAAATAACGAGCATTGGGTAAGTGTCCTAAGGTGCATGGTCAAATCCAGTGCTTGAAAGGCCTAAGGTGTCAACTAGGTGTCAAGTAGGTGGTCACACAAAATGCAGGGTATGCTTCCTTCTATCTTTACTTTAGCTGAGAGGATTATTCACTCAACAGAAAATGAATCCATACCAATTTTGATCGATTAATCCTTGAATAATTTTTCAAACAAAAATGCCAAAACTGGATTGATCTATCAATGATTGATTGAGAAAATAATCCTCAGACTACTTGATAATGAAAATAATCGTTGGTTGCAACCCTACTTTACTTAATTCCTTTCTGCAACTCATTTAGTAATGAACTAAAACAACCATTTTTAGTTATTACATTTCAACCTGAGCAACTCTAATTGTTAATATCAGTGGTTTAACCAATCATCATTAAGTAAGAACAAGATAAGATCAGGCATCTATCGCCATACAGAGCCAGCAGCTGGAAGTTTTGCCTGAACATCAATTAAATGGGAATTGGATGACTTGAACTCATTGAAGGTGCCCTTTAGTAAATGACATTATGGAGTAAATCTCTTTAGGAAAGAACACATTCAAGATGGAGTTGAACAATTATATGAAACAGATTCAGTTGGCCACAGTCACCTGCCAAAGGCCCCATGTTCTCTTATCATGAGAGCATGATCAGGACCAGCTGCAGTCCACTGTTATGACTCCGAGTGAGAGTAAATGAGCCTGACAGAAATTTAGATGCAGGAACTCAAATCTGAGACCCACTGCAAGAGGAACTGAGAAAGATATGAGGAAGTGAGCAGTGAGCACGGCTGTTACAGTATGAATTATACAGCCTCTTGTTTGAATATAATGTTTGATCTTATCCTGACTGCGCTATCCGGAGGCGCGGCTAGTCATTATGCGAGGATGAATATGAATGAGTAAGGCGGGGTCCCCGGCAGTGGCCTAAAACACACTCTGATGAGCATATGAAAGAGGCACACATGTATGCACACACTGAACCGCAGCGTGAGATCATGCATTTATTAATAATGGGAGTGGTTAGGAGAGATGGAGAGTAGCTTATGAATGCATTTATGTGCTCTGGAGAGATCTCTGAAAATGCATGTGGACCAAGCAAAGACATACATCTCTTAAATATGTTTATCAAAGGGCTGAGCACTTGCATGGCTGTGATATCAAGCATGTATTAACGCAGATATCAAAGCTTTTCTGGGCCTCCACATTAGGTACAAAGGGAGGGGCAGGAGTTGAATATTTCATAGGATATAGAGGGGTGAGGGGTACACAAGCAACCTGAACAGAGGTCAGGTTAAAGTAGCTCTTATTCCTCCTTGATAGTTAAGGGGTGTGCTATATAGGTGAATAAGAAGAAAAAGAGAGAAGGAAGTAAACAGGGTCAGAACCCTTGCCTATGGTGTTGGCTATGCCCTCAGGATGGATATAAAAATAAAACAAGCCTTATATTTCTCCCCTGCAGTCTCCCTAAAGCAGTTTGTAGAAAGACAGTCAGAAAACCCATTCAAATAGCCCCTACAAGAGTCAGACTGAGTTCTAGTACAATTTTATACATACAATTCAGACAGCTTCATTAACATGGATGTTGCAAACCTGCTAAATTGCAAGAGCATCAACACAGAAATAGCAATGTTTTGTTATTGTATTGTAGAACTAAGAAGTGTTGGCTGCAAATGTCTAACAGTGCAGAACTGCAGAACATTGCCATGGAGATATGCTTTTCCATTCTGAAAGCCAGCTGGCAGAGGAAGTACATGTTCGTTAACAATATCCACAGAAGAGGGGTGTGGATCGAATATGGCAGCCACTTGCATCTGCAGTGATCAAAGCCTATATGTCTACAGCTGTGAGAGAGAGTGAGAGAGTGAGTGAGTGAGTGAGTGAGTGAGTGAGTGAGTGAGTGAGTGAGTGAGTGAGTGAGTGAGTGAGAGAGAGAGAGAGAGAGAGAGAGAGAGAGAGAGAGAGAGAGAGAGAGAGTTACTGAGTCACTCTTAAACAAGACAAAAAGGTTTACATGGTGCAGCTGGTTGTAGAATGGAGACCTAACTTATTTAGCTGTGTAACAACATACAAATGAGCAATGGCTTTTAATAATTACTGATACGCTTAGTGTGTGTGTGTGTGTGTGTGTGTGTGTGTGTGTGTGTGTGTGTGTGTGTGTGTGTGTGTGTGTGTGTGTGTGTGACACAAGCTTATGTTTCAAGAGTGGCCCCTGGTCCAGAGAGAAGGGAGAGAAAAAGGGAACATCAAAAACATGTGGGGCTGAGAGAGCTCAAAGAAAAATCAACCTCTGATACAAACACACTCACATACACTTACACACTCGTACACACGCATATCAGACTGTTGTAAAAGCAGCTGCACTTTCTTTTGCAAATGTTTTTCTTTTTTCCCATAGGGAAAATTAACAGGGATACTTTTTTTAAAGTCAAAACACATGTATGAAAAACTAAATAGTGATAAAAGACTTATCCTTGTTCGAAGGCAAAAGTCTGTTGTGTTTCCCTTTGCTTTAATGGACACTCTCACTCTCTCGCCTTCCAAGCCCCTTTCATGCGTCCCTCCCTCCATCCACATTCCCACAGCTCTTTCTCTCTCACTCTCTGACAGATGGGTAGGTAATGAGTTTCGCCTTTCCCCGTCCAATCGTCTGGGCACCAAAAACTGCCCCCCACGCCAAAAATGCCCTTTTAATTTAGCCAAGCACTGAGTACAGGGATATTACTGTTTAGGTACACACAGAAACACACACACACACACACACACACACACACACACACACACACACACACACCTCCCATGACTCCTGGTTGGGTGGGTATGAAACCTTCAATGTCTCATGTGCTAGCTATTAAAGAGCCTAGTTTCCCCCTCACCCAGTCCACCCAGCTCCCCTCCCCGAGTGGTGCTCAGGGTTCTTTTCTGTGCATGTTCAAGAGGCCAGGGTTGGCTTTCAAAGTAACCATGGCGGCCATTTTTAGAACAAGGCCTCTGTGAGGTTGCCCTAGAAACCCTTTCTGACCGCCCTGGTGAAATCACACTTGGCCCGGAGAGCTGTGTGAGGCAGCGAGAACAGTGTGTGAAAGAGCGAGAGCGAGAATTAGTGTATGTATATATATGTTCAAATCCCACAACGGCCCGAAGACCACCCACACTCTTTGGGGGACACACATCAAAGCATTCCCCCGAATAGCCCTTTGCTCTATCTTTCTCCCTCGTTCTGAAGTTGCAGAAGTGCCGATAAGCCAGCGTGCGCTCTCTTGACCAGCTAGGACCACTTCTGTCTATTCAACAACAAGGGGCCCCAGAAATACCGGACTCCTGCTCTTATTTCAGGGAGGAAAAGCCCAGACTAAGACCTGCAACTCCTTCAACATACATCTGCTGTGACGGAAAGAATACCGCCTTTATATGCTCCCTATAAAACAGGATTTAGCTTCCCACATGAAGGCAGGCGGCGGGTAGCGGGGCCGGGCCTCAAAGGTTTGCTTGCCTAAGCACAAAAGCGCTCAGTGTTCCCATATCACTGGAGTAAATTAGATTGAGCAACATACATATATTTCCGCAATCAAATTAAGATTCCAGGTCAATGGAGAAAATTCAGCCCCAGCAGTGGGAAGGTCATTATGTTTATTGGCTGAATTGGTTCATGAGTGACTGTCACCTAAATCTAATATGGCAACATGCAGTTCAGACAGCACACATCCATTGTATTTGCGTGTGAGAGAGATTCTGAATACATGATTGATTTCAGTGGGAGAAATAAGATGAAACAAATGGGCTAGTGTGAAAGCAAGTCAACAAAAGCAAAGAGGGAGGAACAGAGAAAGCAAATAGATATTTAAGGCCCATTCGCCTCTGCCGATTCACTTTAGCCTTGCACATTAATCAAATTACCTCATCAGCTGCAGGCAGACAGAGAGCAACACCTAAATTCAACTCTGCCCTGTTAGAGCTTCTCTGATCCAAAGGGGCCCACCTGCAGTAGTTGGAGCTTTAACATGAGATCATACTCTATGTAGACCAAAGATAGCTTGCTAAAACCTCACTGAGAAAAGGCTACTGAACTGGAATCCAATCCGTTTGGTTGGATTGAACAGAGAGGCCCAGCTGAAAGGAGATCTGAACCACAACTGAAGAAAAGCAAGGCCCTGCAGCAGGTCGAGGAAGGGTCGAGAATTGTTGGGCAACCCCCACCTCTAACCCTACCTCCATCCCACCCACAGCTAAAGGAGCATTTGGTTCATTGTGGCTCCTTGAACTGAGTCAATTAATAAGGCTACAAAGATAAATACAAGGCCTTTCAGCGTCTTAGAGGGTAGGTCTGTGAAAGTAACAATGAGTACATGCGTGTGTGGTCCTATAAGGAAGCACTCATACAGAGACTATAAACAGAGATCAATGCTATTCTGCAGGAGACCTTGCTCCAGGCGTGTGTGTGCATGTGTGTGTGTGTGTGTGTGTCCTAGGTGTGGGACGGGCTGGAATAACACAGCTGAGCTCCAGGGGCGGCCATATTTATGCCTTAAACCCTTTGGTAGACCAAAAAGCCTTTTTCTCCCCTAATGTGTTTTCGTCAACCGCACATCCACACACACGCATCTCACAGTGTGAATGCTTATCCCGACAGACACAAACGAGCATAAATTAATGTTTTGGAGATTTTCTATGAATTTCAATGCTTTTACTTCCGCTTGAGATTCTGACAGCAAAATCTGCATGCTAATCATAGGGATGGGAGGGAAAAGAATATCTGTA